TGTAAATTAATTGATGGAATCATAAACTTTTTATGGTCAAACAAACCTCATCATCATAAAAATTCTCAATTCTGACCAATGTGGTTTGAACATTAGTAATTTAAATTATTTTATTATTACACTTAATTTTCACAGATTGGTGGCATTGTTTTTTTTTTTTTCTTATGTGTAATTATGATATCCAAAAATCTGTCAAATCTAACTTTCACTTAGGTACATAGACTCTCATCTACAAGCATAACTTTTCTCCCCATAGATTTTACATATAGAACAACAAGAATAGGAAAGGGATATTACACAACATTGTATTAAAGGGGTCATATGATGCTGCTAAAAAGAACATTATGTTGTGTATTTGGTGTAATGAAATGTGTTTATGCGGTTTAAAGTTAAAAACACATTATTTTCCACATACTGTACATTATTGGTTCTCCTCTATGCCCCGTCTTTCTGAAACATGTCGATTTTTACAAAGCTCATCGGTCTGAAAAGCGAGGTGTGCTGTGATTGGCCAGCTATCCAGTGCGTTGTGATTGGCCGAATACCTCAAGCGTGTGAAGGAAATGTTACGCCCCTCACCATACTGTGATGATGCCCTGTCCAGCCGGAGCGACGAGACAAAAACATGAAAACCCATTATAAACCAGGCATTTGTTGCATCCAGTGGGGACATAATTACTGATTATAATGACTTATACTGTCTTTTTACACGTTGTGTTGCATCGTGCTGCGTAAACATAAAACCATGTCTGCATTTGTGATCGGAGAAATGACAAACAACAAGTGCTACTCTACACTGCTCAAAACTCACGTTTGAATCGTCAGTGGCAAATCCTTTAAATATGAAAACATACTTACAGGCTGTGAGTCAGAAGCGCCAGACTGTCCTTGAAAAGTTGGAACTGCTTCACTTTATAGAAACAGCCTTTGTGCACAGCCGGCCAGTGTTGCCAACTTAGCAATTTTGTTGCTCGATTTAGCAACTTTTCAAACTACCCTAGCAACTTTTTTTTCAAAAAGCACCTAGCAACAAATTTAGCTATTTTTAAAAAGTTTTTGGCAACTTTTGCAAAGTGACTCAAATGATAAAAAAGGCACATATTTTCATCTAAATTACACAAAAAGAGGAAACCATTGAACAGCTAGCCAGCCAAGCAGCACATCAACCTGGAGAGAGCTGGAGAAAGGTGCCTGATCTCGTTGTGTATTCTACGTAAAAACGCTGTTCTGTGTCATGGTTATGCAATGACGTCATCACGCAATGACATCACACTGACATTTAGCAACAAACAGATCTGCCTTCAGCAACTTCCCCTGAAAATTAGTTGGCAACACTGTAGCCGGCATTGTAGTCTACTCTCCCAGGATCAGGATGTTACTGTGGCCCTTCAGGTAAAATGTTAAACAGGTGCTAAACCATCATCTACTATGATGAAGTGTCAACCAGATACTGCGATAATCATTTACAGTATGTATTTGTAGTAATATATTAATAATCAATAATCATGATTATTAATATTGCCATTACTGTCCGGTGCCATAACCCTAAATGACATTGTAACTGCTGTTCATTTATTTTGGTTGTGCAGTTATACTTCACATTTCTGGAACGACAAATAATATCTTGTATAGTTTTTTTTAAGAAATCTCAAATTAGTTTTTGGATTTTCTGAAGCAGATGCAAATATGTGTTTTCTTAATACATGTCATTCTTTTTCTTGGTAGAGTCTACATTTTTAAATGTAAGTGTTAGAGACTCTAAGCTTATTTTTAAAAGAGATTTTGATCCTTAATTCCATTTATTTAAAATATATACAATATGCATGACCAATATTGTCTTGACCTTAACTGATATGTAGTTTTTTAATTGGAATAAAGCCAGTTTCCATCATTATTTCTTAAATGAAGTCCTACTTAAAGCATGAGGAAAATATCAGAAACAAAAATATTACTTACAAACTAATGGTATTTTCACATTAATGAAAATGTGGCGAAATCCTGCTAGGCTTAGTAAAACAGCACATAGCACTTTTACATGTTTTGAGCTTGAGTTTTTGTGAATGTTGATTATTTGTGACACTGTCTGTAAAAACCAGGCTAAAGTCTCAAAATCAAATTATGCGATAATAAGGATCAAAGTTTGATTTCACCTATAAATATAACTATGATATTAATCTTTGACATCTCATTACTCAGGCAAAATTAAAGGTATCAAGGTTATATTTTCACAGAATGTTCTTTACATTATGTAGGATGACTGTAGAAAACGGTAAATCACAAAACAATGACTTTAGTTGGGCTTTCGCAGTGCATTTTTGGGACAAGTGAGATTTTTAAGGCTGGACACTATTTTAGTGCATGCTAAGTGCTATTATATAGTCAAACAAATGAGGACATAAAAAAAGTCCTAAATTGTCAAGGTGGTCCTCAGTTTACAGGTGTGTACTCTGGTGAATGTCCCCAAAAGTGACATAAGTAGGTACACACACACACTCACTCACTCACACACACACACACACACACACACACACACACACACACACACACACACACACACACTCACACACACACTCACACACACACTCACACTCACACACACGCACACACACCAAGAATCAGTTTATGGCGTTTATCAGCCATACACTGATCAGTTTATCAGCGTCATGGATGAGTTCTGTACTATACTGGTACCCAGCATGCATTGCAGCATGAAGCTTTAGATTGTCACCATTGTGAGATTCATATGCTGATTCTTGATGTCTCTCTTTGTGTCTAAATGATGTAATAGTTCAAAATGTTTTAAGTACAAGCTGTTTTAAATATATATTTTCTGGTTGTTGCAACACTGATGGGTCTCATGCTGTAGAATCACTGGGATGTCATAATCAAAGACTATAAAACAACACGCATATAACTGGACTCTGAGGGAAATCAGTGAAGCAGGACAGTAGATGATAATCATGACCATATATCTTAAAGACTTAAAGCATCTTAAAGTTACAGCTATTAACAAAATAACTAGTGTTCAAAAGTCAAGGGTCAGGAGCCCAACTAAAGCAACGCTGATCTCCACAATGGAAACATCAAATTAAATAATAAATCATCAACCTCTGTTAATTCTCAGTAAGACCTTCTGTAGATGTCTGACAGAAATAAAGTTAATCTGGTTAGTAATAAGAGAAGCTGGTGATGCTGTTTGTGGAGTTGTTTAAAGATATGATGCTGCTAAAAAGAACATTATTTTGTGTATTTGGTGTAATGAAATGTGTTTATGCGGTTTAAGGTTAAAAAAACACATTATTTTTAAAAACACATTAAAAAAACACAGTGGTTCTCATACTGTACATTATTGTTTCTCCTCTATGCCCCGCCTTTCAGAAACGTGTCAATTTTTACAAAGCTCATCGGTCTGAAAAGCGAGGTGTGCTGTGATTGGCCAGCTATCCAGTGCGTTGTGATTGGCCGAATACCTCAAGCGTGAGACGGAAATGTTACGCCCCTCACCATACTGTGATGCTTGCGGCAACCACATGTGACGACCCCGGGCTGGACTCCGCTTCGTCCACGGTGAAAGCCGATCCGGCGATCCACAGCGAAGTTGATGTATTCTCTCAGCAACCAGCACGGATCAGCTCCAGGCATGACGAAGCAGATATCGTCCTCTTTTGGAAGGCCAACCAAGGTGGTTTTGCTTTCACAACGAAAAACACAGCGTCTTCAGGACATGGCGGCGGCAGCAACAATACTATGGCGAGAATAAAAGTTACGCGTTCTTTCTTTGCGTGAACATTTGGGTGGCGTTATGCAAATCTTCCCACATAGTGATGTAGACATGTGGGGGTGTGTTAGAAAATCTGGTTGGTTTGTATTGGTGGTAATATGTAAATGACATGCGTGCGTCCCGTGAGACTTGCACTTTGACCACAGTGCAGCCCAGTGGGAAAAAAGGTTGAGAACCACTGATCTACAGGTATTTCCTGAATTATTATGATCAAACACCTTCACTGTAATAAATAAAATAAAAATAAATAAAACATCACTTGACTGGCAGCAAAAGAACATTAATTCAATTCAAGTGTTTTTGTATAGCGCTTTTCACGATACAAATCGTTGCAAAGCAACTTCCCGGTTCGTTTGGCTAGTATGAGCGCCCTGTGAGTGCAGGCCAGCGGGGGAGTGGGGGGGATAATCGCGCTCGTGCTCGGTTCAAGGCAACCGCCTAGTGTGAGAACACCCTAAGTTTCTACAATATTTAGTGGTAGCTTATCAGTGGTGACTCAGTTAATATATATATATGTCAGAAATGTACAGAAAAATCAATTAAAGACGTAATCAAACAGACGATGAATAATATTAACAGCAATTATTGTATGATGCAATCAAACTTATAGCAAAATGTGGTAGTTCTGTATGTTGTTTCAGGGTTGGCATCATCTGAGGTCCTCTGAGGGGTTGCATCATCTCTTCTCAGGTGTTCTGGATCCAGACTGAAGCTTGTGTAAATCCTAGTTACCACGGGATGTCAATCCCAGCAGAAACAGAGAAACACATAGAGACATAATTAGCGTAGCTGCTGTTCCAACCAAGCAAAATTGATTTGTTTAACCCAAACTAAAGAATAATAATGTCAGCATGGTCAGAAAAAAACAGGTGGAGAAGAAAAGACATGTTAACTGCAAAGAAAAAAAGAAGAATTAAGGTGAAGAATTAGGTGAGAAACCATCAGGAAGCATTTAGTCTCCAGTGCCACTATTTTCCAGAACTGCAACCTTCCTGGAGTCTCCAGAATTACAAGGTGTCAGGCTCTCAGAGGCTTTGCTTGGGTAAAAAATCCTAAAAAATGACCCTCACTTAATAATAACATGCTGAAGTGTTGTGAAATACATTAAGACTGATTTTTTCTAGGCTTTATGTACAGATAAGTTGAGAGTGACTCTTGAAGGACCAGCACCACATCCTCTCGTACCGCTGTTTGAAGATTTTTTTTAAGTTTTAGGAGCTCATTTTTGCTGGTTCCTCTGGAACTCCATGGTGGCGATGACCCCTGCACAAAGGTAAATGAACGTGCTATTGAGCAAACAGCTTCCCTCTGCCTGTTCCTCCAAATAATTACAAATGTGGGTAGTCACACCTTTGCCTTTCCCCTCGAAGTGCTTAATGGCCAGCCCTTTCCACTTCTGATGGACCACGGAAGCAATGAGGAGAGGGTCATTTGCGACAGGACACAGTTCCTGGCAGGGCACCCACGCCAGCAGAACACTGTCCACGGATGGCACATTAGTGGTCCACCTGGTCTCCTTGGCAATGGCACGCTGGACACGAGACGCCGGGGGTTTTTGGCCAGTCCTGTCAATGGATTGCTCTGGGGAAAGGCCTCAGGTGAGTTTTAACCAAACACACCTCACAAAATGTAGACTGTAAAGTGACTGGCATTATTGTAAGCACTCACCAAGAGTATACTGTACCCGCAGCTTGTACTGAAGCCTCCTCCAGTAGTGGTAGTAGCTGCGGTCCTCAAATCCTGCCTCTGCTGCCTGCACCTTCGTCGGAGGCTTCCCGTGAAGGGTAACGGGAAACAGGTCTTCAAAAGCTCCCCAAAACCTCGGAGTTGGGAGCTGCACCACTGGAGTAGGTGGAGATGTCCTGTAAAAAAATAAATTATAATAATAATCTACTTAATTTAGAGCACAGTGCCTTTATAAGTTGGGTTGACAAATGGCTCTTTTCTCTCTCGCTCTCTCTCACTCTTGATAAATCAAAAACCATGTGAAAGTCAATAGGCTTCAGTTCCAGTAACGGTACTGGTGTGCGGTGTGGCCAATGCATCTGTGATGCAGCCCTTCTGTGATTACAACAATACACTCAAATATTCATGAGTTAGAAAGGTTAGTTGCTGCTTTGTATTTGGAAAAGAATAATCAGTTTTACATAAATGGTAAAACACTGTGTTGAATTTGTTGATGATATGGATCTTAAAATCTGTTGGCAGTGATGAATACAAACAACAGAGAGTACATGACTTTCCTTTTTATTTTTTAAACGAAAAAATTATATCTGAATCATTTGGCTGAATAGTAGGGTTGGGTATTGTTTGCATTTGATCAATTCCAGTTCCGATTCTGCTTATCGATTCGGATTCTTATCGATTCCCAGTTTCAGTTCCAATGTGGTTAAAAAAAAATAAAAATGAAGTCAAACATTTAGATATCAAACATATTTATTCTGTCTCTTTTTGCAAAACATTTAATTGCTGCCAAACCCCATGAACAAAACTCAGCCGACTCGATTAAGAGCTGTTTGTGTGCACAATAGAGCGGCACGATTCTGGATAAACTGAGACTTTTTTTTCTTTTTAAAGGGAGGTTGTAGTTTTCTCACAATTCTGACCAAAAAAAGACAACTTAAAGATATTAGACAACTAAACAAAATCTGATGGAATTAATGAATGAATGATTCAATGACTCACTCAAGATTGACTCGTTTCATTCCTGGATGAATCAGTGTTTTTGAATGAATCTTTTGAATGAATGATTCAAAGACAAATACATTTTTAACAGCCCCTTTCACCAGCTAAAAAAAAAAGATGCGCACACAGGAATTGGAAAACAATTATCTTCTTTTTAAATGTTGGGCTGCCAGACAGAGTTTCTGTCGTTTAGTCAAACCAAGCTTAAAGTCAAGTCAGTCCAAACAAGAAACGTACAAAGGCCTGTGTATCTAAATTGCCACATACTCTTAAATTTGTGAGTTAGGAAATGTATAAACATTATAAACAAAAAACCTTGAATATGATCTGTATATTCAAAGTTCATCAAGTCAGACCAAGCATAATAAAGACACAGAAAAGGAGAGCAAGCAGTTCATTAGAAATTGAACACAATATAAGCGATGTAGTCCAGCCAAGAATAATAGATCAGCTCAAGCCCAAAACATTCGGTTCAGTTTCTGATATAATCATCAGCACAAATGAACTCCCAATAGTCAAAGAGGCCAAAAGAAAAAGGATAATAATAACAGTATAGTTAACAGTATCCACAGCCGCAGTATTTTACACAACCTCGTTTTCCAGAAAATCTGGTTTGATTCCGTGACTCTGTAACTCCTTGAGCGTTGAGATCGTCCCGATCCGTCAGTCCATGTCAGAATACACACTTGCTCGACAGCATCCTTGCAGCGTTTAAACAACAACCTGCTTGGCACACAGCGAAGTGTGACGAAGTGATTAGTAAAGTTGTTGGATCGCTATAATCGCAGACGGACATTTTCAACGCAGGTAAAACAACAGAAACGCCGCGTGAGTCTTCAGAGAGATACTGCTTGCCGCTTGGCCGCCGCATGTCTTCACCTAATAAAGGTACATCCGAGGGCTGGACTCGCACCGTGACCAACCAAACGACTGGAACTACGGAAGTATTTACTAATGCTGCATGCTTTTAAAGTTATGATTGGATTGACATGAACGATGAGAATGTATGATGATTAATACTCACTGTTAACATATTACTGGTGATGAAAGATATTTCTAATGTTGAAGAGTAATGGATTCAAAATAATTGAATAGATGCAAATTTATTTATTTTTGTGATCATTTTGAACGTCGTCACAATAGGTGGAACTGTATCCGATTCTGGAATTGGATTTCGATTCCCAGCCCTACTGAATAGGAATCTGAATGACGAGTAGATCATTTCTTGCAATTACCAAACCCTACTCATGAGGGTCACCGTAACCGTACCTCTCCAGCACCTGTGGTGGCTCGTCCTCAGCAGTTGGCCGGCGTGGATTGACCACCTTTCCTGCCTGTGGCTCTGCTGGTGGCGTAGGTCTCTCCTGCAGACTCTTGACGTACCTGGTGGCATGCATTGGAGGGAGAAATGAAGGTAAGATGTCTGTCATGGCCTGTCATGAACCACTGACTAGAATACTTGCTTTTCTCGCAGTCGGTGCACATCGGCTGTTGGGTTACAAAGAGGAAGTCCTGAAGCTCCCAGGAAGAACCGGTCCCTGTCGTCTCCCTTCGGAGGTTGAGCCTTTAAATATTCTGGCCGGATGTGCTTGAAGTAGCAGTCCAACCACTACAACAAAGATTTGTTAGCTGTGACAAAGACTGTTAATGAACTAATAGTGTGGTGTGTAGCGGATCATCTTACATGTTCTTCTTTTTTGTTCAACTTTATGCTTCCTTTGGACAGCTTTACGACGACTCCATCTCCCTCTGCCGCCCTGTCGTTCCATTCCTGGACCTGTGCGAACATTCAGACAGGAATGATAAGGTTCCGATATAACCTCAACCTCAGAAGACCTCATATATCTGTGTTTGAACACGTCTAAAATGTGTCAGCAGTGAGCTCACCTTGAACTCTTTAATGCTCGTAGGACCCAGGTGATGGACCCACATCATTGTGGCGAGGCAGAAGCTCCGGAAGACCGTCTTGGTCTTTGCAGGGACCCCTTTCTGTTGGCTGAGGCGGTTGGACACCTCACCCATGTCCTCCTCAGCGAGAGCAAGTATTTCAGACTCCTGGATGGCAGCACTAGGAAACGAAGGGACCATGACTATGGTATGACTAACACACCCTTGTACAGTCCGTTACACCCATCAGAAATTAATTACAATGCCTATTTCACTCTTCATTCACAGACCTCCCTACCTGTCACGCTCTTCTCTGAGGAGGAATCCCTTTGACCGGAAGTACTCTGCCAAGGAGTCACAAGACGGGTCCTCCCTGACCAATTTCTTGACCTCAGAAATATTCATAATCCTCCCCTCTCTTGTCCACGTCTCTTGTGACTCCTTGGCCCTGGAGACTTCTTGCTGGATACAGCCATCCTCCGCATCCCGCAAGCACATATAGCTTAGATGGTGTTCAATTTTGGTCTGGGGCTTATGGCAAATCAAGCAGTGGACCAGCTTTGAAGGATTCCTGCACACAGCTAAAGAGCATCTAGTTGAATTCTCAGTCACATGACACAATGCACTGTATGCCGCAATAACTTTTACGTTACAATATTGATATGTATATATACATTTTGTCCTCTCCATGCTTTCTATACACAGTGGTGTCTGTTCTCTCCAGCTGTGTGTGTCTGCAGCTATGACAAGCAGCCATATTGAAGGTAGGGGGTGTACAAACATAAAAACATGGTAACCACAAATTAAACATGCCCTCCCCACCATTTATGTGTGTGTGTGTGTATCATACATATTTAATATTTTTAAATATTTAGATAAAAATGTATTTTTATTTTCATTCAAATATTGCATTATCTTAAATCTGACGTTTTTTCACAAGTTGTGTTTCTTAAAAATCCTAAAAGTTTGTTTATTTTAATGTTTAAATTAAACTTTGAATAACAGATTTACATTGCGACCTACTGAACAACACTGTACGTATGTGAATGTTGTTCACAAAACACCGTCACTGTAATTTGTGTGTGGAACGTTAAGAACTTTCTATACCAACTTAAAAGTAAACAGCATTTATAATGGTAATTAATTTATTGCAAAGAAATCCAAATGCAGAATAAATGGCTGTCATGCGCTCATCAGCATTGATCCGAAACGCCCCGCACTTAAAATGTGTGTTGGTATGCAGTTTTACCTTTTGCTCGCGTCCAGGTTGCCAACTCCTGTGCTACAACTGTAGTTCAACTATGTTACTTAAAAAACTGTTGATTTATAAATGGAATGTGTATATATATAAAAAAATTAGACTAAAATGTGCCAACTGTTACACATGTAACTGTTATCCACTCAGTAGCCGAGTTTCGATAACTGAGAACAGAATCGGGAGGGGGGCTTCACATTAAAAAAAGGAATTTGCTGCCCTCTGGTGGATAACTTGAGACACCGACGTTCAGGCCAAACCAGCAGAGTGTTCTGCTTTTCTCATTTTAATTAGTTTCAGTTTAGTTTAACACACACATAAGACAGCTGTCAGTCTGAGGAATTTGTCTGTGTAGGTTATTTCATTGTGTGAAAATAGATCGAATGATCTTCAAAGGAATCACGCAGTGAGATATGATAGGTTACATCTGAGGAAACCAAGACAAGAGTCGCATTCCTACTCCGATAACTGTTTCAGTCAGCCACAAACTCTATATCTCTTTTAACCAGATAGATTTAGCTAATTACTTCACTAACAAACCACATCCATCCGCAATCATTTCAAGAACTCCCAGCAACTCATCTTCTCTCCTCCTACAGCCACCCCACACCTGTGCTCTAGACCCATCCCCTCACAGCTCCTGCACTTCTGTCTCTATTCACACACATCATCAACACATCTCTCCTCACAGGCATGTTCCTCACTGCATTCAAGCAGGCTCGGGTAACCCCACTGCTCAAAAACTGACACTAGACACTTCACTTGCTGAGAGCTACAGACCCGTCTCTCTCCTCCCGTTCATAGCTAAATCACTGTACGCGTTGTGTCCAACCAAGTGTCTTCCGTCCTCTCACAGATCAACCAGCTGGATAATAACCAATCCGGATTCAAAAGTGGCCATTCAACTGAAACCGCCTTGCTGTCAGTCACTGAAGAGCTACAGAGGGCAAGAGCCGAGTCCAAATCTTCAGTCGTCATTCTGCTAGATCTGGCTGTGGCATTCGACACTGTTACTCATCAAATCCTTCTGTCCACCCTCTCGTCGCTGGGCATTAGGGATGTAACGATTAACCGCGAGCCGGTTGAAAATCGATTCAAATATGTGGCGATTCAAATCGTTTGAGATGCTAAACCAATCACGATTCAGTTAGGGGTAGGAGTTTATATGAAGATATTTATTTTATTTGTGTTACTTATTTATTTGATTTGGGGCTTGTTTTAAAATTTCAATTTAGTTTTGTTATTTACATTATATTTAAATTTTGTCATTTAGCAGACGCTTTTAACCAAAGCGATTTACAAATGAGGACAATAAAAGCAATCAAAAGCAACGAAAGAGCAGTAATATGCAAGTGCTATTAGTATATTATTATGGTATTATATTTCAATTTCACAAAGAAACGTACAGTATTTTGTCCAAGCAATAATAAAAGGACACATTTAATTTATCATTTGTCTTAAATCTAATTTTGTTAAAAAAAATTATAATAATCGTGAATCGAATCGAATCGTGATATCAAAATCGTGAATCGAATCGTGAGTTGAGTGAATCGTTACATCCCTACTGGGCATCACTCCACTGGTTTGAGTCTTATCTCACTGGTAGGTCCTTCAGGGTGTCTTGGGGAGGAGAGGTATCCAGAGCACATCAACTTGTCACTGGGGTTCCTCAGGGATCAGTTCTAGGACCACTCCTCTTCTCCATATACACAACATCACTGGGTCCCATCATACAGGCACATGGCTTCTCCTACCATTGCTATGCTGATGACACACAGCTCTACCTCTCATTTTGACCAGATGATCCAACGGTACCTGCTCGGATATCAGACTGCCTGACGGTAGGGCTGCACAGTTAATCGAAATTAAATCACAAAGGCGATAAATCGTGATTAGGCAGAAGCTGCGATTGTCATGCGCATCTTTCAGTGAAGCAGGGTTCTGTGATCAGCAGTAAATCTCCATCTGAAGGCCAGAGAAACTCCAAATACACCCCGCAGAAGAAATCAAGGCAATCCCTGTAGCGATTACTGAATAAACAGATTTAACCGCTTTCATTGATTCAACGTGACTAATAAACAAACGACTACAACAATATATGGTTTATCTGAGTTCGTCTTATTATAATTTTCATTATAATAAAGTATATAATAATGCAATGCCGTTATCACTGCTTAGAATGCTATGAAATATGTTGCGTGCCTTATTCTGTGTAAGAAGCCCCATCATCTCACAGAAGGATTTATTACAAACACTCGGCTGCTCACCCTCTCCACTGGGGTCCCACTGATCATAAGAGGAGTATAGGGCCGCTGCTGTCTCTTCCTGAAGTCCACAATCAGCTCTTTAGTTTTACTCACATTCATAGAGAGACAATTGTCCTGGCACCATGATGT